AAACGATGGGCACTAAAACTTTTTTCCTCTTATATACACGTATGTGAGTCTATAATAAACTGAATTGAATTGCTGTTACTTGTGCTTGAATTTGAAATGAACAATTCTTTAATTAGCTCACAATTATTTTCAAGACAAGGAGGGGAGACCATTAAGGTATTGATTAATACATCTAACCATGACCAGAAATCTCTTTTTAGTCAACACTTTCAGAACCACAAAGCTTGTAAGACCCACAGTCAAATAACCAAGGCTGTGAATGTGTCATGAATGGTTACCATGGAAACCGGTTTCCAGGGAAACAACTTTAAGCTTTGAGATGAGAAGGAACCAAAGCATCAGTGATCAGAGTGCAAACAGGGCATAATAGTGAAATCACTTTTGTCTATTCAGTTTATTTCACTCTCGGATCAAAGCTGAAAGTTTGGACCTTTTGAATTCATAACACGAATGAATACGATTTCAAACAGTATTTGCATGTTTCCTGAAAGATGTCTCCTCATGTTCACGTCTTAATTCTGAACTACATCTAACCACAGCAGAATTGGTTGTGCAGAATAATGAGGAAACACTTTATCTTCACTGGATAATATTAATTATCTGAATACTTTCAACAGATTAGTTCAGTTTTTCAAATGTTTTATTTTATATCAGGCGTTCATATCTGTAACACAACAAAAGGTAGAAAGATTTAACTATCTAAATTTAATACTGAAACTTTATTTACCTTGCTTTGATGGTTTTATGAAGATTGGCATTGTATTTTTTAACCTTAACATCTCATTTAATTATAGTAAACTGGTTTGTGTCTTGCAGATCTATTTGTGAGCTCAATCTGGAGGCTGAGCTTTTCACTCTACAGGACAGCAACTCCAAGTTGGTGGCAGCTTTGCATGAGGCTAATGCTAATGTGGAGCAATGGAAGAAACAGCTGGCGGCGTATCAAGCGGAGACTGAAAGGCTTAGAGAACAGGTAAACGTCTGCTTTAGAGAGACATTGCTAACTCGTTTCAGCTTGTAGCTTAAAAAAGAACAAATACACAACCCTTTACCCGCTCCCCAGAGGGAACGCCTTTTAAACGCTGCGAGAGCGTGCACAAGCCCATTTCTCCTGTCTGTTTAGAATATAGCTCATACAAGCTTACTGTGCCCGGACGCTTGTCCTAACTCCTAAATCCCTCAATCACTATTGAGTGGGGACTATATAATGGACTTAGTTAACCCTGTAATGCCAAATGTATCATATTTGATACGTACGGTTTCTGAAATGTTTT